GTTACTACAAATGTTGCCCTATGACAATGGTTAACAATCTCACAACACATCAACAATATCCTTACTCTACTTTGTGTTCCCTATCATCAGCTTAGAAGCTTATAATTTTTAATGTAATACAGTTTATCAGTTGTTTCTTTATGATTAGTACTTTTTTGTCTTCTTTAAGAAGTCTTTCTCTGCCTAAAAGTCATGAAGGTATCTCATATTATCTTCTGGAAGCTTTATTATTTTACCTTTCTCTACTTCACCTGCAATTGGTCTTTATGTATTGCAGATGACGTGCAGAAAGGTAAAATAATAAAGCTTCCAGAAGCTTTTGAGATGGGAATAAAATGTCATAATTTTTCCATATGGGTATCCAGTTGACTCAGTACTATTTATTGAAAAGTCTGTCTCTTCTCTATTACTTTGCATTGCCGTAAATCAAGTATCTATACATTGTGGATCTGTTTCTGGTTTCTATTCTGATTCATTGGTCTGTAGTTTTAGAAGTCTCTTATAAAAAGGATGTGTTTGCATGCATCTTTAAATCTTCCCACCTTATTCTTCTTAGTGGTTTCCATTTCTACATACATTTTAGAATTAGCTTATCAATTTCCACAATACATATAAATATGCTGGGAATTTGACTAGAATTTCATTACATATATAGATCTTGGGGAGACTTGACATTTTTACGGTACTTTATTGATATATTTGATATGTTTTCAATTTTGTAGTATTTTCTTACATTTATTTCAAACCTCTTTAATTTCCACTGATAATGTTTTATAATTTTGTCATAGATGTTCTTTAAATATTATGTATTTGATTTGTAGGAGCTCTTTGCATATTAAAAAAATTAACTTGGTCATTTTCCACAATTAGTGTTGTGACTGATTTTTTCAAAAATACATTTTTAATATTTATGTGATCAGATCTATTAATGTTTTCTTTCTGTAGCCCAGATCTCTTAAACCTTCATTTAATGCTTTTTGTGTAATATATCTTGATGCTTTTTATTTTTATTAGTTATTATCATGGTTTTGCACTATCTTTAGAAACAGCTAATGATTTCAATGGTTATGTTAAGTAAAATAAGTTATTTCTGAATTCCCCATTTATATTCTCACAGACTTCTCTTATACCTATATCATAATTTTTAAAAATTTTTTTTAATTTTTTCCCATACAAAAATTTATACATACATTGTTAGGTGACCCTAATTGCTCTCCCCATACTGTGACAGCACACTCCTCCTTTCCACCCCTCATTCCCCATGTCCATTCAACCAGCTCCTAACCCTCTCTGCTTTCCCATCTCACCTCTGGACAGAAGCTGCACTTTTAG